GCGACTTCCCCTTCTGACGTCACAAGGGGAATTTCTGTATGCAAATAAGAAGCTAATGAGGAGCCTCGTTTTAAAATACACAAAAATAAAGTTGACGTAGATTGAGTTTAAAACACATTTTTTCACTTAAAACAAATAATTCATGCTTAGAAACATAAAAATTAATAATATTTATGTATCAATGGATAATTTTAGGCGTGAAAATAGCAGCCATTTCACAGGCACTTTAATGTATGACCATATCGACAGCCTGCCTGTTGGTCTGCTATAATTACACAGACTAAAGCTAGCCTGCTAGTTGGTATGCCAGGTTACAATAAGTGAATTACTGTTCTAGTGGTACAATGTACATGTATATTTAATTAATAATGTAACTGGGTTATACGGTACTCTGTGTACGCTGGTACTGATAGCAATTTGCATCTACACCAAACAATATTGATCTTTTGTGTATGCACAACATATGGAAGTTACTCTGTAATGTGTAAATTGGATATTAAAGTAAGAATGTTGAATTGTTCATACATTTTGGTTTACCCTAAAATTAATATACCAATAACTATGAAAGCAGAGGAATTTCAAATCAAGAGACTCCTCTTAATTATACAATGTTTAGTGGCAGATTTTCTGTACAAATGTGCAAGGATGAATGACTGCGATATCCAGTTTTTAACCATTACCTTCCATAAACAAAAGTTTTCAAGATATGCTCTCATTTTATATTCTACCATGTAATGTGATAAATGTGATTTACTGTAAATTTATGAATAAATGATGTCAGTCTCATTCAATCAGGAACAAGTTTTATACAGAGGGAGGCTAAAAAAAGAGCATCCAATAACGAAACACAAACTCTTGTTTGAATTTGTATATACATATTTACAAAAAATTACAGATAACAGCATCCATGGTTAATATGAATGGGTGAGAATTACATAAAACTCACAAGTTTATCTTATACATATGCTGTACAAGGAATTTGGTGAAAACACAATTCTGTTAGTGAGAGATATACGTGTATGTATGTATGTATGTACATGTATGTATATGTATGTATATGTATGTATGTACATGTATGTATGTATGTATGTATGTATGTATGTATGTATGTACATGTATGTACATGTATGTATGTATATGTATGTAAAAACACTCGAAATTATATGTTAACATATGTCCTTGTCTAGATTACTCAATATTGTTGACAACTGTCTGTGTGTGTGTGTAATACTAAAAAATATGTTAGCATATGTCCATCCCAGATCAACTAAATATTGTTGAACATGTGACCACATACCTCAAGTCACATTTTTTATTGAACTCATACTGGTGTCTCTAGTTCTACTGATGCTTTACAGAAAACACAACACAAGTCAATAAAACTATTTTGATAGGAATTGGAGCTTGACAGGTTTATTGGTCTTAATGAATTATAGCACATTTAAGTTAATTTTCAACACTGTATGGTCTTACTTACCATATATGAGTCAAAAGCATGATTAAACATCTCTAGCACCTGATGTCTGTGAAAAAAATTAGAATCCAGATGATGCATTATTAAATTTACTGTATTTATAAATGTGTGTGTCATGATCATGGAGGTACTGTAAGATACTTTATTTTTGCTATTTTCGCTATAGGAATAATTCAGCGCAAATAAAATCCAGCGAATATACCTTTTTTCCTATATTTTACATTCAACTTGTCAAAAATCAGTGAAAATAAATTCCATACACCACCCAAAACGTCTTTTCCGCGAAATTAATTTCAGCTAAAAAAAGTATTTTACAGTAATGAATTTTTGTTTTAGAGGGCGGGGGGGGGGGGGGGGGTGATACATGTACAATTGTTTTTGCCCAAAGACAAAATGGAAGATTCAAACAAAGGGAGTGGAAGTTGCAGTCTGCAGAGTAAACCAAAAAATATCAGGATCAGATTATTCCATGATAGAAAAAAAATATTATAAGTGTTTTAATCTATATTGAATTTCACCACAAATCATAGAATAAGACTGCTACGTACTGACTCTATTATGATAATTGTACGATCCACCGTATTAAAGCGGCTTTGTGTATATTATTAAACAAACACCCGGCAAAGTTGTACCGACAACATAAGGCGAATATACATAAGTTCAGAATTTACAACTATAATCGTACTTTGTCTCCACCATAACGGTTAGATATTGCAATCAATACTAGTATATTAGCTAATTGACGATGAATCAACTTGGTAATAATGACTGATAAACAAACTTACTTGAGAGCGGACTTGTCCACTGCTTTTCCGTGGCACTGGAAGAGGGCGTAGTTAGAAAAAAACACCAAACACATATATAATATGTTCATTAATATGTTTACAGGCCCCATGATAAATCCCTGTGCCGTCTACCCTTCTTTTACACGATATTATCTCCACCGAGTCACGACATCTTGCCTTCACTGAACGACATCGCTGCCATATTGAATATATATCATATCTCGTACATTCACGCGTGATCTGCATAACGACGTGGCATTTAATAACGGCGACGCTCATTTGTTTTGCAGGAATCACCTTATTCAAACTAACAATATTTTAAGACGTGGGTTTGCACACGGGTGGTAGTTTTCTGTTATATTTTACACTTAATGTGTGTCCTGTACATTATATTTTCACTGAAATGAATATTTATTAGTCTGTTTAATTTTATATGAAATTATTGGTCTAAAAATAACAATAACTAATGACCATGATTCCCGTGCCTTTAGTTACATGCCGAGTCGCTGTGCGCCGATCTCGTACGCTGGCTATTACTAGTAATCTCCCCGTATACGACAGAGTAAAAAACTTGAAAAGCAGACCTATTTTGGGTCTCACGCTACGAATAAACTCTCTATAGATGACAACTTGAAAAACGCGGAAAGCAAGGCTATTTTGGGTCTCACACTAAAATTAAACTCCCCATTAGACGACAATGAAATAAACTTGAAAAAAGGCTATTTTAAGTCTAGCACTACAACTCCGCTCACCCTAATAGACAACGGTGTAAAATCTCCCTATAGATAACAATGTAAAAACTCTAGACAACAATGTAAGAACATCATATAGATAACAATGTAAAATCTCTCTATAGACAACAATGCAAGAACTCCCTATAGACAACAATGTAAGAACTTCCTATAGATAACAATGTAAAATCTCTCTATAGACAACAATGCAAGAACTCCCTATAGACAACAATGTAAGAACATCCTATAGATAACAATGTAAAATCTCCCTATAGACAACAATGCAAAAACTTCCCATTAACAACAATGTAAGAACTTCCTATAGATAACAATGTAAAATCTCCCTATAGACAACAATGCAAGAACTCCCTATAGACAACAATGTAAGAACATTCTATAGATAACAATATAAAATCTCCCTATAGACAACAATGCAAAAACTTCCCATTAACAACAATGTAAAAACTTCCTATAGATAACAATGTAAAAACTTCCTATATACAACAATGCACACACCTTGAAAAAACAGGGCCATTTTAAGTCTCGCCCTACTTTTCCTGTACACGACAATGTAAGCACTCACAACGCATGCTTATTTTAGGTGTAGTACATAAATTAAACTCCATGGACAACAATGTACAACTAAACAAAACTAGGTTATTTCTCCCATAGAATCAATGAATTTAATGCACAATAATAAATATTGCTTTTTTAGGAGTCGGGCTGGAGTCCGAGGTCGATCAACTATCAACTAAGAACATTCATTCTTTCACCAGACCGCCACAATTATGTTTGACGTAACAGGTGAATTTACTTATCACCTAATAGACTATTTTCTTAAGTCGGGCGCCCTCACAGTTTCCTATTGGAAAGGAACTTGTTTTGCTGTACTGTACACTAGGTAAACCATTCTTTCAAACGTATGAAACACTTTATATTTCTGGTTTAATTTTAAAATTTACTAAACAGTGTGTAATATTATGATGTTGTCAGTATATTAAGGTGAATTACTGACATTAGTGAATCAATTCCGAAAAGGCTAAACTTAATTAGTGGGAGACAAAATCCTAGTCAATGAAATGTGAAAAATTATTATTATTCAGTTTGTCATTGTTGCAAGCATGCTGTAAAATGCTGTTATGCAATTAGTTTTCTCTACTAAAGACGGTGTGTGTGTTTGATAGAATTAAGTTACACTTCCCGTCATGCAGGTCACGATGAATTGATTTATATTTGTTTGTTTCTTCAGTGAACATCAGAAATGTAGTGACCAGCAAAGAATTTTCTGACTCCATACCCAGTTAGTATATCGGTGTACAGTCAGACCTAAACTGTTTGTAATATAATGTCACATTTCATGCTTGTCAATATTTGTCAAAGACATCGCCGCAATGTTCTCTTCCAAGGGTTTACATGAAATCAAAATTAAAACGACCGAGGACAGCTATACAGCATTGGTTGCCTAGTAACAGGCTTACATTCAATGTAACAAAACTAAGTACATAAGTTCCTATGGAAATAATTTTTGCATAAACATATCAAATTCAGTTGATTGTGTCCAGGAATTTAAATAACTAGGGGTATGATTTGACAAACAATTAAAATGGAACGCTCATGTAAATAAAATGTGTAACAAAATCTAGTAGAATTGCAGTGTTCAGCAGACATTGACCGTGTATCTCTAAACAGGGTATTTTAAATCGACTCCAGAAATTACAAAATAGATCGGATTACAGAATAGTTGTTTAATGGGTGAAACAAGGGATTTGTCTACGGATCAATTGTTATATTTGGGCGATTGTCATGTGAACAACTCACATCGTACATGCCCAGAGCTGTAAATGTGTTTTAAGTAACTCGATGACAACAGTTCTATAATACTGGAAAGACTGCTACTGATTGCTGTACATTCCGTTGTTAAACTAGTTAATGAATAAAAGGGCTTTTAAATATCAAGGTGCTAAACCATGGAATGTCCTACCAGAGACTTTTGTAATTGCAAGACATTTTTAAATGCATCTTAAAGAAATATTGCCTCTTTATAGATAGATTTTGTAATTCTTGTTTATTTCTAGTATTTCATATTTTATGTATTTACTATTTTGTATACTTTTGCTGTATGTGAGTTGTATGTTACAGGGCCACCATGTATAAAGATGGTGAATACAAACAAATAAGAAGCATTGTGACGTGATAAATTTTGTCTTTAACAATCATCAGTAGGCCGCATACTGTTACTAAATATCGCCCCCTAGAGGCTATAATATTAGTACAAAGTCTTTGCAAATCGACGGATACGATTCACAAACGATGATAAGTCATATAAAGTGCTGCGTTTGAATACAGTATATAAATTCAAAATATCATTACAAATACTGCACGATATGAGGTGACAATAAATGAATATAACCCGTTACAGTGTAGAATAAATGTATATGCTAATGACGTCATTGATCCAGGTGATGTGTTATTACACGTCATCATAATGGTATCCCAGGGTAAGGCTATGTGTTTTTATGATTGTGTTAAGGTATGAAGATAATCCCTATACACATGGGTATTTTCTCAGCCATATTATGTATATCGATGACTTGGTTTTCTTGAGCCGTCCATCCGTGGTTTGTGAACACTTGTTAATGTTTGCTATGAATATGGATCGGTCCTCGATATTATTTACCATCCTAACAAGTCTGAATGTATGTACTTTATTCCACGGAAGAGTGTTCTTAGAAGCAGTGTAATTCCACACGTATATCTTGGTGACTCTATACTTAAAATTGTGCATAAGCACGTTTATTTAGCATATGTTGTTACTGATAATTGTATGGATGATGACGATATAGAACGACAGATTCGATTACCAGTATTCTACGGCAGAGCCAATATTGTGTTGTTGTAGCAATGAAGTTAAAATTACAATGTTCCGAACCTTTTGCGCTAACATGTATTGTTGCGTATAATAATGCTTTTCGTTTATTCCTGGGCCGGCCCTGGAACTATAGTGCTAGTGGTATGTTTGTATCCTGCAACATTCCTACATTTGACGCTTATGCTTTTTTGTCATTCTATACTCTTACTAAAAGTGACAATAGGATCTGTGTAGTGCTTTTATCATTTGTGTTCCAAATCTATAGTATAGTACAGTACTATATGTTTATAGTATTCAGTACAGTTCTATGTACATTGTATATGCAACAAGTACTCCAGAGTATTGAATTTACATGTCATTTCGTTCTTTATATTCTTTTATTTGTTTTTTAATATGGGGTGTATGCAATAAAATTTGCAAGCAGTGACACAAACCAAGTGGATGTACTCCATTCTTACTGAAATCTTACAATAGTATCATCACTACACATGTTCTTAACATGACTTCACATACTCTGAGAACACATATGGGTTATGAATTGCGCATATATCCTTACAAACTGAAAAAGGAAAGTTCCCCTAAATGATCGGAAAGTACCCATGTTCTTGTACACAAATAAAACGTTTTGATTCCTGTAACCCCCGTAACTATTGTATTCTATGTCACCACAATAAGTCACATAGAATACATAATTCTAAAATGCCTCATTGTTCAAGGTTTACCAATAATTACATTAAATGTTTGCATTATTTTTCTGAAAGTCTACGGTCACCAAGAGGAAGCAAAATCCAAATCGGGAAGCATTTGTTACAAGTCATTCCAAATTGGTTTGTTGCACGTAGAGCTGTGCGCCCTCATAGGCAGTAATCGAAATAATTCGAATGTATAGCGCCCGCGTGTGGAAACTATTAAACGCGGTTGCCCACACCTTTGCACATTGGAACCAGTGGCGGATCCAGAGGGGGGGGGG